GTCGGACCAACCGGGAGGTGATGAGCTGGTCCGACGCCTGGTCCCTCCGTCCAAGGAGCGCAGCAGTGTACAGCTCCACGTGCGGGGGCCGCTCCCAGCTGACTGTTGGGTGATAACGCTCACATGTGAGAACCAACCTCCGACCGTTACATAACCCACGGTTTCTCTGGTTTACTGAGAGCCGTCCGACTGAGATGTGTCTCCACTGCCTCCACAGATGACACTCACACTTATGACAGTGGTTCTCAAAGTGGGAGGCAGGTCCCCCCCCGAGGGCACACGGAAAATTTCAATTTTTAATATTATTTTAATTTGTGCAAATTTTTTTTTTTGTAGGAAATAAAGTGTTTTATATAAAGTTTGTGTAATACCCAAGTCTGTCCACATGGGCGGGGGTCTACAACAGGGGGCACTGCAGACAAATGTCGTCAACCAATAGCTTTATACGTCATCGTCTAGACATTTGAGAGGAAAAGTAGAAGTTCCAAGTTTTTGTTTTTTTGTTTCGCTACCTCTAAGCTAACGACAAGCTAACTGTTAGCCATTTCTGTGCATTCTTTGGATTTTATTTTGACAGTTCTTCATTCGTTTGAATCACTTTGTCTCACATGGTATCTTTAGAGCGTACCTTTGATGATATGATGCTATCTTTTGTTCTTTGGCTAAACTTACTCTTGCTAATATTGACTGAGCTAATTAAGCGCAAACCTTCAGCTATTTGTAGGCTAATTTGGTGTGTTTGTTTAAACCGTCTGTACTAACTGTTTAGGAGACATTGTCTCACACTTTTTGTAATTTTCCGAGCGAGTCATCTGGATGTTTCTGCTGGGTCGGGTTTCAAATCTTCTGATCCTTCGTTGTGTACTCAGTCCACATCCTTCCAAGCGTTGTCAACACTTTCTCTGAATGAAATCAGCCGTGAGTCACATGTGAAGTATTTGATAACTGGGCCGACACCTCGTTCATAAATCAACAGTTAGCCTAATGGCAGGATTCTGTAACGAGTGTAAACACCAGGGCATAAATGAGCCCAGTGAGGAGCGCGAGCGGCCCAGACGAGACGAGACGGGACGAGACGGTGCAGCGGCGTGCAGCGGCGGACAGGACGCGGTGATGCAGAGCAGACAGGACCGGCCTCAGTGTCCACTCACTGGTCGGAAAAAAAATGGAAGGAAAACACACGCAGAGCAAACAGCCGTCGGGGAGAAACTGAATTTTTCAGATGCCAGGAAATACAAAAAAAAAATACACGAAAATATGGAAAAGAAACGCAGCTAAAGTGAGGGACGGGAGACGAACATATGAACACAACCTGCAGTCTGTAATGTGTTCCTTTAATTTTGTGGATCAGTGATGGGGGGGGGGGGGGGGGGGGGGGGTAATCGTTTTACTTAGCCTGAAATTCATGTTCAGTTGATGTATTTACCACCTCCTGTCTCCACCCTGTTCTGACTAAACTAGAGCAAAACATCATGTTGTGTAAGGTGATTTTTTTTTTTTTTTGCATGATTTCCTGTCATTAATCACATTACGTTTAAAACGAATTCTAAGTATTTTTCCCCTGTTTTCATTCAAAAAGTACTACGATACAAACTAGAATGCAGTAACATTTGGTTCAATAATTCATCTTTCCTGAGTTGAATTCAAAAACTTAAGCACTTTCAAAATTAATTCAAAGAATAAAAAATTTTAAAATATTTAAAATATTAAAAAAATAAATAAAAATAAATACATATAGTTGCAGTAAATGGTATTTAAAGCACAATTGTTTAAATATGAAAATATATATTATTTATCATCGTTTTCAAGTCTGTCCTTTTAAATTCACATTTCAAAAACTTAAAAACAAAAAAAAGAAAAAAAAAACATTAAAAAAAAATAAGCCTGGACTTTGCTACGTTGCTAACAAGATGCTAGTTAGCCTGCAGTTACTGAGCCTAACTTCAAAACCAAGCTTGTTTGTTTTTAAATTTTCTGGTCAGACCTTCATCATCATCATCATCATCATCATCATCATCATCAAAGGCCATTGGCTGGTTATGATTTCCTAATCAAATCAATGTTCCAGTTATTGACAGGATCAGCCACGAGGAACGCATCATTATTGGTTATTGATATCAACAAATAAAAACATCAGACAACTTATGCTACAGTCAAACACAGTCAAGAACTGAACGTGCTGAGAGTACAGCGCGAGCGTCGCTGTCCTTTAAGAACACTGCAGCGTGACAGTTGTAACATTAGGTACTTCCCAACAACAGTGGAGCAAAACAGGGGCCCATTCAGGGTGTCAGTGACAGGAAAGGAGAAGTAGAGCGTGTTAAAACACCCTGCAGTGTGTGTGCGTGCGTGTGTGTGTGCGTGTGTGTGTGTGTGTGTGTGTGTGTGTGTGTACATCCAGTTTCTCAGCAGATGCTGTGAAACTGAACATCCAACACCGACTTCTCTAGCGTTCCACTCAGATTTGCATCCTCGCTCCTGTTTCGGGGTCGATCATCTATGTGTGTGTGTGTGTGTGTTGAGAGAGAAAGATGAAGGTGTGCAACAGTCGGACGCCCTGCAAAACACAGACGGAGAGACGAGTGTGTGTGTGAGACACTCCCGCTATGACTGGCGCAGAGCTGCTCATAATGCAACTTTCAGCTCCGCAAAAGAACGTCGAAGTACGAAGTGACTGTGGAGACAGATGGCTGTGAATTTACATCTGTTTATTTGGCTGATGCTTTTGTCCAAAGTGACTTCACAAGAGGGGGGTTAAAAAAAAAAAGACTCCACTAGGGCCTCGAACACATGACCTTGTGCGTGTAAAGCAGCCGTGATATCCGCTACGTTATAAACCCAGAAAGTAAAGTTATTTTTTCGAAGTAAAAAAAATCCCAAAACTGATCTGAGCTCAGTCCAAACATCTGTAGGTCGATCTGTTTGAAAGTAAAGTTATTTTTTTGAAGTAAAAAAAAGACTAAAAATCCCAAAACTGATCTGAGCTGAGTCCAAACATCTGTAGGTCGATCTGTTCAGACTGAGAGACGGGAAAATCACAGAAGAGACAAAGAGACGACTGAAGGACAACGGGAATTCACTGAGTGCATCATAAGGCTCGAGTTAGAGCGACTCGGTGACGACAGGGACCGAAATAAATCGGATGTTTTATGTCCAGAATAATGGCTTCATTTGTCTTTTACTGTTGTTTTCATAAGACGTTTTCTGGACTTGGGCCGCGAGCGTTAAACTCGTCAGCGTGTAGTTGAATTACTGCACTGTCCCAAAAACATCAATT